ACAGTTAGATATGGTAAGCATTCAATCAGATATTTAGGTCCATATTTATGGAGTAAGATTAGTAAGGACTTACGGAACAAACCCAGCACAAATGCCTTTCGAATTGCTATAAGAACAGTTGATGTCTCGGGATTGTTGGATGGATCCTGCAAGTGTATAGCATGCTCAACCTAGAGACTTATGGTTGAGCATGTTGTTCACTTGGTTGTTTAGTTTCATCTTATCCATCCAGAAATCTATCGAGAGATTGTCTGTTCTCTACTGAAGTTACATTTTAATTACATGAGAATTGGGGTTGGGCTTGGATCGTGGGATATGAGTAGGGTAGGGAAAATTTTAGATAGTACTTAATTTTAATCACTATTTACATATTTATATATCTTAGAATACATATATTCTTAAATATTTGTATATTTGTATATTTTTTATTTAGTTTTTGTATTAATTTATTTGGTTCTTTTATAGTGTCCTATCGAATGACCGATGAGACGTTATTCAGAACTCCTTAAATCAAATGATTTCAATATTGATTGCCGAATTAAAAGCTTTAATAACATCTTAGGCCTAGGGCAAACGTCGAACTTTCCATGCACCGAACTCAATTAAAAACAATAGATATCAGGTGATAATGAGGCGGCATTCTTTGATGTAATTAAGTTCGGTACATGGAAAGTTCGACGTTTGCCCTAGGCCTTAGGCATTTTATGTTTTTAGTTCGACCCGTTAAGATACGCCCGGCCGTTGCTGTACTTGCTGTGGTGATTAGATATAACTATTTTTTCAAAAGCACTCTTTTGGTACAAAATTAATTTTCGTGAAATGAATTAATGAGATAGATAAGGCAATAAGCCATGTGGGATGTGCTCGGATATCAAATAAGAACATGCACAATAGGTAAATTACGAGCTTTAGATGAAACGACTGAAGAAGAGTGTCATACAAGCCTTTCACAACTTCAAGTAAGATTATTGAGATTAATTATTGAGTTAATGAGATATCAAAGAACGATTATTGCTACCGCACGAATTACGGTCAGCTAATTGGTAAATGCTTAGAATAAGAGTTTTCTTAAATTCAATAGAAATCACATGAATTACTACTAATGAGTCATTAGCTGTGTCTATTTAGTAATCTAGAAAAAACTGGACTGATGAATAACAGAGGCGTGACGTACTAAGTACGACTTAGTCGTGATAAATTAGAATTGAAGTTGATTTCTTGTTCTTACATAAGCTAGAGCTATCGTTTTTTTATTTATTTCTTTATTCATTATTTATATGTATTGATCTTTTGATGTGTTGATGTAATGATGTATTGATGTGTTGATGTGTTGATGTAATGATGATGTGTTGATGTGTTGATGTGTTGATGATTGATGATGTGTCGATGATTGATGACATGTTGATGATTGATGACATGTTGATGATTGATGATGTGTTGATGATTGATGA